TCCCACCCCGCTGCTTTCCCGGCAGCCCGGTTTTCCTGCCGGTCCTCAATGCGTTGTGCTCGCGAGCGCTCGTGATTGTCGGTCAGCGTTTGCGGAATGATGTTTTAAGCTCTGGTTGCTCCGGCTGTGCCTTGTACATTAAGGGCTCTGTTGTGTTTTTTAGATCTTTTTTATTTTATTTTATTTTATTTAAATGAGAGCGAGGACATAGCAAGGCGTCCAGAGCCGTGGATGACCAGGAAGGTGTCCGGCCCGTCTCGGTGAACCATGGCCTACCAGCTGTACAGAAACACCACGCTGGGCAACAGCCTTCAGGAGAGCCTGGATGAGCTCATACAGGTGCGCGGGGGGCTCAGGCTCTGGGCAGTTAATGAAAAGAGAGGTTAGTTATTACGGTGGCTCTGCGGTCACTGTATCGGGGTGCTTAGGCCGACGTTTGGAAAACTTAGTGATTGAAATCAAAAGCTATTGGTACTCCATTCATGTGGGAAGACTTTTTCTGAACATTCTAGACAAAGGAAAATGTTTTCTTTAAGTGGCATAATCCTGTTACGTGGCCCAGTAAATGAACAGCGAGGTTAATCTGGAATGCTGTAATTGATTTCCTGCTTTATGGTTGTTTCCAATGAATATTTATCAGAAGAAATCTTCGTGTGGCACAAAAAAAATCATCTTAGCACATCGTTTCTTCTCTCAGTTAGAATAGGAAAAAAGAAGTAAACGCAGGCACATAGCAGTTCTGTAAATTTTTCTTCTAGAAATCTGCTTCACGTGAACTTTGTTTTGATGTTTCTAATTTTTACTGCATTTTCGAGTTTACTTTGAAACAAATCAAAACTTTTGTTTTTTTAAAACTACTTTAGTCACAGCAAATCACGCCTCAGCTGGCCCTTCAGGTGCTACTTCAGTTTGATAAAGCTATAAATTCGGCACTGGCACAACGAGTCAGGAACAGAGTCAATTTCAGGGTAAGATAACAATATATAAAAGTTATTTGTGAGGTACAGAAACTAAGCATTGATGCAGAATGTCGTTAAAAGCTGTGTGCTCTAAGCAAAAACTTATGAAGGTCCATTTTGCCTCTGAAATAATGGATGTTTACGTGTACATTACAAATGTAAGGCTTGTTATCTGTATTCTGCTAGGGATCTTTTGAAGGAATACAAAAATCAGAAACATATTTGGTGGGGGAATGAAGACAGGGGAAGGGGAAGAGGGAAATGGGTAGCATTGCCATCCTCGGTGTCTTGCAGATGGGGAGGGAGACTTACGCTTCTCTAAGTTGCACCTAGCAGAAGTGAAATAAGGCCAGATTTTCAGCCACATCTGTAATGTGAAGAGAGACTAGAGCGTTGTAAATCTACCCTTACACAAGTCACTGGATCATTTTGTGGCCATCTTTTGTGGATATCATAGAAAAATAAGTTTAAAGGTTTTTTTCCCCAGCCAGCCACCCTAGTTAATGTCAGATAGTCAGCAAATTGTTGACTGTCAACTTGATTATAGTTTTGAGAAAAAGAAAAAAAAAGACAACCCACACCAAAACAGTTGTCATGTTAACTTATGCCCTCATACTTCCTCTACAGTCTATGCAGGTTGCATTTATGAAGTGACCTCTTAGGATTTTAGATTTTTAAACCATATAGATATGTTAAAAAGAGCATAACTCCTCTAACACACTTAACTTGCTTTGTGTATGTAATACGGTATAGAAAACTGTTCAGAATGTGTTTAGTGGATAAATTAAAAAAATGTTACATGGAGCTTATGTTCGGGAGTATCCGTTTAAAATATATGAAGGCCAAAAGGTTCACATATCAACGTCCTCAGTAATACATCAAACATGAGAGATACCACTTTATGTCATGTAGGTCAGTTTTGTCATGATTTTTTATTTAAATTACCACTTTATTTAAACAATTGCGGAATTCACATCTTGGTATGATCACTGCTGTAACTGATTTTTCTTATGGCCCATGTTTTAAGAAATATTTTCTGATACTGATCCTTTATACACATTAGGAAAGTTATAAAACTTCTCAGTGTACCTGGGAAGGTTCCCCTTGGATAGACTGTGTCACTACACGGTCTTGAAAATTTCAGCCACTGGAGGGCATTTAAACTACAGGTTTCCTCAGAATTGCTTGCTGGCCAAGATTGCACGTATTCACGTTCACAGCTGGCTTTATGGCAAACCTAGTTCTAGAAGGTACAGAGTTCAGCAGATAGTAAACATCATGTGTTCTGTTACTTTTGGGCTGCATCCTATAGAAAATATCTCTTGTCTTTTTAAAGGGGTCTCTGAACACATACAGGTTCTGTGACAACGTATGGACATTTGTACTGAATGACGTTGAATTTAGGGAGGTCACTGAACTTGTGAAAGTGGATAAAGTGAAAATTGTAGCGTGTGATGGAAAAAGTAAGTATGGAATATGATATCAATAAGCTGAGACACAAGACTTCCTGTTTATAGAAAGCTTTGACCAAATGTCTGATTAAAGCTAGATTGATTGCGTTATTCAGACAAAAGTAGGGCTCTGCACTCCCTTTTACGTACGATGAGAAATGAAACAAAAGCAAGTGAAATGCTTCCCTAACTCATAACTACTGAAAAAGGAATGTGTTAGAGACTGTTACACCTGGTGTTGGGAAGTACATACTACTAGAGTGAAAGTAAGTCAGAAGTAATCAAATACCTGTGTGGTTATTTTTCTAGTATTAACCTGTTGGTTAGAACATCATGATTTATTGAATTCAAGGAGTGCTTCATCAGTCTGAGCAAGCAACTGTCTGAGAAAGCTCTCTAAGCAATCGTTTGCTGGATTTGATAGTAGGGGACCTAAGCACACGAAAAGCTTGTGGTTGTATTTACATGCATATTGTAAGGTTTACGTATTGCTCAACAGGCCCACTGTAGGTACACTGCTTATGGGAGATTATGTTCCATATCTGCTTGACTGTGGATTACTTTTGTCAACATTCCTTGAAATTCTTTACTGGAAAAAGTAATTTAGTGACTTTTGTGGCAAGCTGGTTTATAACTTTTAAAACTATCAGTGTGGCAGAATATCGCTAAAGGTGCGTGAAATGGTGCCACTTGTTTCGTCCCTGGTGAGTGATGCTAAAAGGAGGAACTGAGGATGGAAAAGGCTTTATTTAAATACACCCTAGACCTCTGAAACACATTTTTCATGGCTTCCTGATCCTGGTATGATTACAGTAGTCACTTCAAGTTTTTGTTCTAGAGAGTTGATAGAATTTATTGTTCACTCAACTTCTGGTATTAGCCAAGCATATAATCTTACTCTGTTAATTTTTTGGTGTGCTTATTCTAGCTAGTAGAGAAAACCTTATTGTCCAAGTATTAATTGTTTTCGTTCTTGATAGAGTATGCAGATAAGATTTAAAGAACCGGGTGACTTAAAAGTTGCTATGAACGTTACAGCCTTTTTTCTCCACAAGAAGTTGACTTGCTGAAGGAATGCAGTAAACGCTGACTTGTCTTTCTCCATATCCAAGTTACGGATTTTTTCCATAGCTCTAAGAACAAGAAAGCAGTAATGTAGTAATACCAGAAATTGCACTGTTGTTAATTGGTGCTTCTGACAGCAGTTCAGAACAGAGAATTGCTCTCGGTTATTTTATAGAGGTCATGCTCATTCTTGCACCTATTTAAAAAAGTGCAATACTATAGCCTACAGCCCGTAGGAGCTTATGCTACTGGTGTGCAAACCCCTTTCTCTTTAGTAGATCGTGGGATTTAACCAGGTGTGCTTGTGGCTGACCGCAGCGAAGTGTTTGTGTATCACTACAAGTTAGAGCAAAGCTTCTTGTATTTTTACTGCTTTAATAGCAGATGATGTGTGTGCACAGCCTTGAAGTTTTGTGCTGGCTCTTTCCGATGTTGCTAACTGAAGTGAAACAGCACAAGCAGTTCATGCCTTACATTGGTAGCAATGGAAGGAATTGGGTGGGTGCAGGACACGTTCTAAGATGCTTGGGGAATGCTTTTGAGCTTGGGGAAGGTGTTAGAGCATGGTATTGGTTCTCTTTAATTTATATTCAACTATAGTGGGGTATGTAGTACCCACACTTTCTTTTTTCTTTCCTAGACACTGGTTCCAATACTGCGGAATGAATAGAACTGTGGTTTGTCTGCAAGATTTTCTGTTAATATGCAGCACTTTCTGGAGAGAAGCATGGAAAGGGACTGTGTTCATACTGAATTCTTGTGATGCAGTTATGAGTTAATCCATACTAGAAAGCGTCACAGAGCAACAGCAGAAGAAATACCTGTAGCATTTCTTCAGTTCACCTTATAGGGCGTGAATACAATGTTACTTTTTTTTTTTTTAATTACAACAGATACTGTTGCCTTTTTTTGTTCGAAATAATTTCTGTAATAAACTTTTATTTAAAAACTTGTGAATGAGTGATCATTGGAAAACCTTGTTGAAAAACAGTCTTTAATATAATACATCCTCCCAATATTGCTTAAGTGTGTTTAGAGTAATGTTGCAGAGGCAAAGGCATTTCAGTTTCAGTTACGGGGTTCCAAGTATGGTTGCACTGCTTAGTATGGCAAGAAATGGCTCTTTTGGAATGATGGAGGAGGACATCGACAAAGCTTAGCAGCTCACACTGGCCAATATATTTGTCTGTTACTGCGTCTTTCTCTCTATAGCTTTGTCTATTTGGTACCCTCTGCTAATAATACACTAACCCAAGTATTAATGTTATTGCCAGCTAATCCAATTGAAATAATGAAACTAAGTCTTGTCAGATTGCACTGTATTCCCCACAAATGTTAGTGCTGCTTGTTTTAATGTTTTTCTGGTGGTTTTTTATGTTTGTGTAGAATACATTTAATTGAACACCTGGCCAACGGGATTTCAGTGAAAGAGTTGAGCTATGAATTTTGAGATATCAGATGGGTGACTGTTCTTTCTAGACTTGCACGTTCCACTAAACAACTCCAATCAAGAAACCTTTAAATAGTTTCTTCACTAGAAGTATGAATATAACATACTGAGAGCTCATTTGTCTGACTTAACAGCAGTGACTGTTCACATGTGGTCATAGGAATACTAGCTGCCTCAGCAGTGTCACATTAATTTCTCTTTGATAGCAGGCTACTTACAGACTGCTAGAAACTGGAAACCATGCAGAAGAAGTCGGGGGGTAACTGTTTTCAGGTCAGTCTCAATCTTTAGCTCGTGCCAAAACAAGCATAGTTTACATGTTGAAACCTTTCTGTACATGTCAGTGGTCCAGTCAATTAAAGTAATAAAGCTTTAGTATCTCTTCCAAAACCTTTCCAGACTGGTATGTTACTGCTCCATAAATCCTACCTTTGGACATCAAAGGATATATATTTGAGGTTTTGTTGACTTCTGCTTCACTTGCTTCAAGTGAAAAACGAGTTCACAGACTTGCTTCCTAGACTGTTCCAAGTATGACGTTTGTCTTGTATCTATGCTAAATGTCCTTTGCTGCAAACTGCAGATTGGTAAGCAATCATTTCTGAAACCAGAACAGGCTGTTGCTCGTATTTGAGCAGCACAGTAAGTATCTCTTGAGATCATTATCTTAAAGGATGCAAATGTGTATCTACCATGGTTTTCTCTTTTTCTACATCAGACTCAGTCTTCTAGGTTTAAACATTTTTTTTTCTCTAACAATCGTGGTAAAAGGAATTTCAGCCCTTACAAGTATGAAAGTTTGCTATTCCTACCTCCAACTTGTTGCTGTCTCTTGGCAGAAACGTCTCAATCTCCAGTTCTCTCTAGCCTTTGGACTCCCTCCTATTGCAAATAATTATATATCTGATTTTGTTCTAATTAGTGTGCGTTAGCATATTTATTATGCTAATTATGCTACTAGCATTTTTCCCTTAAAACCAAATTTAATAGAGAAGCACAATTGTACTGATGATGTGAGGTTATTGTGTGGAATGGATTTATGTTTACATTTCCTTGATAATCCTCTATCAGACTTCTCTTGTGTTCCAACAGTTGTATACTACTCTTCAGCACTCCCAGGCTTAATGCTACCTTAGCTGTTAATTGACAGGAAAAGAAAATAATGTAATGAATAGATAAACTAAGAAAAACTAGGAATGAAAGGAGAAATAATTTTGTCAACAAAGATGTCTGCGACTTAGTAATCAGTGAAATTCAAATCAATATGAGCAGAAACCAGAAGTTACTATGTTCATAATTCAGGACAACTTTACTGACTTGTTTAAAGCCAGAAATAATAATCCCATTGAAGCTCTAGACTTGGTCCTTCAGAAGGAGAAGGTGATGGGACACTTGCTGTGCTGAATTGTATATCCTACTTCTCTGGTGGTTCCTATTGGGCATGAAAAATTAGATTTGAATATTGCCATGCCTTGTGAGGAAGCATTTGAAGAGGAGATGGACATTTTGAAATGAATCTAAATGCTCTGTACCCAAGTCTGTACTGTACCGAAAAAATGTGCAAAGGCGTAAGTGACAGTGATGTTCTTGATTAGCTTGTTGTTGAGCTGAGTTAAGTGGGTGGCAACAAGTGACAGAGATGAAAAATATATTAAGTGTTACAGATGCTTTTGAACTGTTCCAAGATTTTTTCTTTTGCTAATAATAATGTCTTAAAAGAAGTGCACAACAGACATTAAAGGTTTTTGGAGCAACTGGAATGGTTGGGGACAGGAAGAAATCTGTTCCTGGGCACAGTGCAAATGAAGGGACTGGGTGCTGAGGGAGTCTGTAAGGTAGCCTGTGTGAAAAGGCTAGAAAGCACGCACAAATGGGCTGTGAGGGAATGTTGTAGGTGAAACAGCAAACGAGTGAGTAGGAACAAGTGAGCAGTCATAACATATGCTTCTGTAATCTAGACATTCTTTTCTTTTCAAGCCGCAAGTCTGAGAAGGCCTTTCATACAAAACAACAGGAAGAGAGGAGTTACAAAACAAAAATAAAAACTGAAGGAAAGAAAGGCAAACCTGTACCCTGAACCTTTTGTATTGCTGCTGCCTGGCTAATTAATAGTGGTGTTAGAAGCTTTAGTTCACATCTGGTTATGTTGTAATATCCCTGTTTAAAATTCTCTGGTAAGAGGCTAGCTCTGTTTGGTTATGGCAAATGCATCCAGCTATTGGTCTGCAAACTTGTTTTCCACTCATGGTGGAATCCTTGTTTTCTGTGTACTCTGTTTAATTCACAAAATACATATTTTATTATAAGTTTGACTACTTACTGTTCCTAAAATTAGCCGACATGTGCATGTTCCATCTCCTCCATGACAGTGCAGTGTTAGGCAATGCAGGTATCTGATATTTTTGCACCTGCGGGATGTTTCTAGGACCTGGAATTCAAATCTGGAGGCATACAGACTACTGAGTTTACTTGGGTACCCAAAGAATACTTGAACTTTTGTAATCAATGCTGTTCTCTGCTCTTTCGTTCTGCTGTCCTCGAGAGCCACAGGGCAGTCTGTGCCTATGCAACAGAGGAGCATTTCGCAGCATTGTTCCTTGCACAGTTACGTTACAGTGGTTACAGGGCAGAAGCCCCAGGTACCACTTCTTTAGTGTTCGTTTGCTCAGTGAATATACTGTCAAAAACTGCAGAAGTTAGTGTTGCCTTTGGGTGTGTGAAGAAACAACATGAATAATGGTTGCTTTATGGTTTCTAAAGCTTCTAAAGTAAACCTCACACCGGTCGGGTGTCGCAACCTTATCTGGCTGTTTTCTGTATTTCGCTTAGAAATACTTTCAGTTCCCAGCTTACCTCTAGTTCTCTTTCTTATATTTGTGGTGGGTTTTTTTTGGTTGTTAGTAAATTATCCTTTTTTCTTAAACTCCCCATTCAGCATAAGACATTTACCCTGTTAACTCTGCCATCTCTTCAGAAAACAGCTCTTGAGGCACACTGAGGTGTAAATAATCCTTGGGAATAACCTTTTTGATGTCTAGGATTGGTCCAGTGCTGCATTGGGGACTATCTGCCTGCGGACTGCAAACCTCACAGCTGTCAACACAAGCTCTGACACTAGCCTGGCAGCACACATTCTTTTTTGGCTCTCACCGTGGTTCTGGGATGGTGTTTGTCTAGGCCCTGCAGCTCCTGCTTCTGTGGGGGCTGTTTCCATTCACTGAAGTAGCAAAGAGAAGGTACGGGGATCTGGTGCGGATATTCTTCCCATTTTTTATTGCACTACTCTCTATATCTTTCTTGCCATTTGCTATTTTTGTGTTTGCATTTCAGCTAATCCCTCCACGTTCATATGATCAGTGTGCTTTGTGGTCTTGGAAGATTTGTTGAACTTGCACCTAGAAGTGTTAACTGCACTTTTGTTATACTAAGCTAATTTAACATCCAGCGGAAGACAAACCATCTCACTACAGCATCAGCGTACTTGCTGCTGCCTATTTGGTTCTTCCTTGCCTGAAGTGTTATGGACTGATTAATTATTTGGTTTTCTTAATGATTTTCTTCGAAAAAGTCACAGTTGCTTCCACCTATCAGTAGCAGAGAAAAAGTTAAAGATATCTTTGTGCCTTAAACTTGAGCTGGAATGGATGTTTCTATTTAGAAAATAAATTAACTAAAAGAAAGTGAAGAAAAGAAAAGAATAAACTCCAGTACAGAAGTGGCTGTGGGTTACTGACTGCCTGTGTTTAAACATGGCTTCTGAGAAAAAGGATTTTGTGAATTCCCTAAGTGCGCAAAACAGGATGTTATCTGAAGTAACCTGTTTGCTCAGTCAGGGATGTCAATACCTGACTTTAAACGTTATCAGAGAGACACAAATTCAAAGGAAGTGCAGAGCAGGAAGAATTTATGAATTCCCAGAAGACTAGTTGAATCAGGATAGTTACGTACATGCAATGTCTAGGTACAATGAGATAAGAGTTACTCAAAACAAAGATACTTGCCTTGAAGGCTCTCAGCAGTTTAGGTAGTATTTCAGTTAAGGTACTAGTGACCTGGGTTTGCTTTTTGTACTCTAAAAGGTCCTGGGGGGCAGTGGCGGGGCAGGGGGGAATAGCAGCAGGGTAAAAAGCATTTTACTAAGACTGTACTGGGAAATGTGAACTTTTCCTTCACTGTAACTTAAAGGGTGATCTTTGTTAGGAAAATAGCTTTGCTCAAAGATAAATTTCCTGTATAAATTAGCCATCATGGCTTAGTAGGTAGTAAGTCATAGATATATTAATATTTTGGTTTTCATCTTGTGCTAAAAGAGCCTGCACCCTTCAAGGAAGTGGAAACTAGGAGAGTCTAGTTAATGTTTCACGGTCACTACTGTTCCAGTCAGAAGAAAAAGGACACCCTAACCCTGTTCCCTGAATCAATTTTACTCATGACTGCAAATACTTTACTGATATTTTGTTCCTATAGGTCATGTTTGCTTCTAGTTTGTTCAGAATTTATTA